CGTGAAAGTATCTATAGAAGGGAGACAAATCTCCAACCCTTCATCGATGTTCCAAGCTATCAAGGTTGCACGTGATGTTCGCGTATCCATCCAATCAGGCGAATGACTCTTTTCTGGATGAAATCCAGCAACTTAAGGATATGTTTGTGACAGAGCTCCATACACGAGAACAATACTCCAAAGAAGGTCTGATCTGAGCTTTATGAAGTATCAAAAGTTGCTAGGGTGTTACAGTTTTCTGGTTCGGAACAGTGTTCCAAGCTTTTGAGAAGTAGCCTTTGCAATTCCAGCGACGTGACTGTGCCAAAACACATTGGTGTCCAGAAAGCAGACTTGTCTGACCTGCCATTATTATTATATTTCGTTCGTAGACATTCATCTTCTTAGAGAAAACCGATTCCTGGATGTTTGTGGCATTGAATGACGAGGCAACTGTGCTGTCGTCAGCAAAGCAATATATTGAATTCTTGTTTTTTTTCAATAAGTCGTTGATATACAATTTAAATAGGGTTGGAGACAATATGGACCCCTGATGGCGAATGTATTCGAGAGATATCGATCGACGGCCACATACAGGGAACGTTTTTTTCAGGAAGAACACATACACAAAAATGATCCCACAAGACATAGCATTGAAGTTTGGCCAGCAAACTCTTATGCCACACACGGTCAAAGGCCTTATAAATATCAAGCGTAACAGCTCTTGATTCTCCATGTTTCTTGATCACTTCATTCCAAATATGGGTGACATAACATAGAAGATGTTGGAGCCTCCGAAAGATTTGAGGATGTGGTGGTTTACGACTTTCTCTATGATTTTTCACATCACTTTTTAAGTACGACGACGGGCACTCCATCAAAGCCAGACGCCTTGTTGATATTGAGCCGTTTCGAAATTACTGAACAATAATTTTTTTAAATTTCGAAATATCACGGAACGTCATTAAAAAATCTATACTTTCAACATTATCTCTGAAAGATGGATCTCATCCCACTTCGGAACTTCTGATTTGCACTGGTTGCATTACTGATGCCCAATTAAAGAAGAACTAGTTTTCATTCCTCACAATAACAACTGCCTTTTTCAAAGCGATGGATTCTGCAGTTCGATATAGAGAGAAAGATATAGATACTGAGGGCGCTATATTTTTTGATGTCTACTTCAATTAACACAAGTTTTTAGAGTTCAACCTGAAAAAATATTCTTTGTTCAATGACTGAAAATTATCAGATTCATGTAGATGATATATCTGAATCACTTTCTTGGAATTCCACAGCTTTCGCTGATAACGTGTAGACAAATGTCACATATTCCTCCTCACGGTCCTAAGACCTTGATTTGATTTTGGCCATTGAAAGACTTCACCTCTTGCGTTTGAAGTATGTATTTCCCAAACAACTCCATGTTCACTTCCAAGGCAATATGTACTTGTACCATTCGGTCACTCAAAGTCACAACTTCCTGCCTCACTTCATTGGAAAATGATTGAAGGTCTGAATGCGGGTTCTATCTTTCGATCTTGTAGCTAACGACGCTATATTTATATGAATGTGCTATCGATGATTTTCACACCACCTTCGAATTCTGTACATGTATTTGTTTTGTGCTCAAATAATTTGAGGTGTGAATCCATATTGATCGCAGGCAGCATTCTATTACAATAGTTGTATGATTCCTCAACTACACTTGGTGGAGCAGAATCCGCTCCGGATCGTTTTTCTGAGAGATCTGCATCATTTTCCGGTCTGTAGAACCGCATTTGATGAACACGCATGTTATCTTCACGGCTGAAACTTTCACAGCACCTTCCACAGTGAAACATATTTGTGGGAATATTCAATACACGCAATATCAAAGTGACTCCTAAGAGAGAGGTGCTCGTGTTTTTTAGAAGATGAGAAGGAAAATAGATTGCATATACACCTCAAACTTACTTCAGCAAAGACATGTGATATTGGCTAAGAGTCGAACAGAAAAAGTCAAACAAAAAATGCACTCCAAAGGTCCTTCATGTATGCAATTGAAAGTCGTTCAAGATCGAATCTTCGAAATAGCTGCCTGACATGGCTCAAGTTTCTTCGAAGCCAAAGTCACCTTTCTAAAAATATTACTCTAGAAGCCACCTCGTCCTGGCAGTTGAAAGTCGAATCTTCAAAACTTCAAGATAGCCGAGATTGGCTCGAGTTTATTCGAGATCGAATTCACATTGTCGTAAAAATGGGGCGTTAATCAATCGAGGTCATTCAAGGTCAAGCCGAAAACACTACTTCAAAGTCACCTTGTCTGCATCATGTAATGTGAGTCATGGTTATTCAAGGTTAAACTCAAAACATTATCTCAAAGTCAGCTTGACTACGTCGTGCGACATAGGTAAAGGTCATTTCAAAGTTGAAAGTGGTGGGATAGCTGAAATCGGATCAAACCAACTACTTACATGACATGACAAGAATTTAATAAGGTAAACTTGTGTGGTTTCTGACGATTCTTTACTTACTTCATTTCCAATTTTTCGTGAAATTATTTGAAGTACCGACTATAGTATTTAATTTTTCACGAGGGAGCAAGCCTCTCCGTAAGTCCATCGTTCGTCAAGAGGCAAATTAAGTTACTTCTGAAAAACAGGCGCATTCAGTAGTATTTGATCTTACTGCGGTAAAGAAGTACTGCCCTACTCATTTGATTGAGATGTCTACTGTCTCTATTTTATAAATTCGTATGACTCCTCCAAATCATGATATGGGCATTGAGATAACGGATAGAATTTCCCAAAGAATAGTTTATCGGGAAGTAATTCCTGCTGGTCAAGAGCACCTCAGGAAGGTATGGAAAACTTTCAGAAAGTCAGTCCTTTTATTGTTTCCAAAACTTCATATGAATCATTTTAGCATGGTCCTGCTGATGAATGAACGAGAAACATCTGCGAGACTAACCTCTGTGGGGTATCTTTCGTGAAGTCATTGTTGGTCGACCCGAATGATTAATACTTTTTATACTCTTTCATCTCTCCTCTCATTCACTACTCGCTAGTATATAACCTAATGTATTACAACATTAAATTATAGGTAATAGGTATAAGTTTATATTTCTCCATTGTAATTTTATCGATATTGTCTTTGTCTTTTGTCTTTTATTATATTTATTTTCTTTTTTAGCACGTTCAGAGCTTCTGTGATTATCAGGCATTTACCAGAATCTACTGTGTAGGTAGTTGAGAGAGATGAATGTTTCAAAATATTATTTCGAAATATTTATTTTCTGGTTTGTATGAATCGATTGGTAAAGTACATAGTGTGAAGAAAGTTGAGAAAATATTGGTTCAAACTGATCACAACAAGGTTATTGGAGGTAACAAGATTTGCATAAATGTCTGCTGTAATTGTCCTATTTTGAATACGTCAAGAGGAGTAGTATTCTGTAGAGATTTGTTGAATTGTAGCGGAAAAGAAATGTTGGGAGAGCTCGGAAGCAGTGGGGTATTCCAAGCTAAATGCTAGAGGCGTGAAATAAATGACCAGTTTGAGAATACTGCTAGCTGCTTACTAACATTTGACACTCCTAAGCTTCCAAACTGCATCAAAGTAACTTATTATAAACTGCAATTTAGGCCTCACATCACTCCTCCAGTGAGATGTTTCAACTTTTCGAGCATGTAGTTGGAAACTGTCAAAATTCCAAAGTGTGTTCATGTATCAGACAAACATGAATCTCCGTGTATGTTTGGATTATCCATGCGTATATTTAGTGAAGCCAAAAATGGTTCTATCACCACACCAATACCGTGAACAATGGTCCTACTAATGCATTTGAGAAAATTATAAAAGGAACCATAACCATCAACTTGAACAACACAAAACCTACTGCAGGTGAATTTACTATTCTCAGATGATAAACAGAATCTATCTCAACGACCCAATACCTCTGAAACAAGAATAAAACAAATTAAAATCACATCAGAGGAAGATAGTGGTAAGCCTCACCGTTCTAATATACATAGAGGTGGGAAAAGAGGTCGAAGTAGGAAACACTAGTGATATGCTCCCTCTGATATTCATAGTTCGAATTTCTGTGTTCGATTGAATTTCATACTCATTTTAAACCATTTACCAAAAGTGAAACTCTGTCAAACAATGAAAACCTAATACGGACCGCAGAGGCAGGCACAAAGTATGTGCCCTGATGTCTCATCATCTTTCGAATAGATACGCCACGTCGCGTTCAATTCCCTTCACATAATGATTCACACAGTTAAAAATGACCTGCGAGTTGACCTGATAGACAATGTATGTTATTTTTACTGCAATATAACAATTGTTCAATGAGATTCTTCGAAGGAGTGGGCCAATCTTGGTAGATTTTACTGTAAGCCTGGAACTCTTCATGCAGTCCAGGTTTTCAATGTTTATTCGACGAAACCTCATAAATCAATATCCATGACAGGTTCTGGTCCAATAAAATCTTGCTTTCTGCAAGAGAGTTGGTAGCTTAATTTTTTTCAGGCTTGTGGCTCCTCATCGTGAAGTCTTTTTTCGCCGTTTGATGGGAACATTGCTCCTTGAGAGCTTCCACTCAGCTCTCACATCGATAATAGAAACTCGGAAACCCACTTGGCAATCCCATTTTTTATTATCAATGTTTGAGTTTGATTTCTGCCACATAAAAATCATTGGCGTAGATATTTATTCGAAATAAAGTCGCATAGGACCTTTTTCAGGTTGGTATCTCTTTACTGGGACTACAACTGTATGTACCTTCACCAGAACCTGAAAGTGTTTTGGATACATCAGTGAACAAAAAGTTATCTGCTTTTAGTATTTCCTCGTCTCCTGAACAATATATCAGTTGTTTACCCATGCAAATGAATTGTTTCCAACACACATCAAGCAAATACCATTGGTTAATAAGTAGCAGTGTTAATTGTGAAACTTCACACATTGAACTAAAAAATAATAACCAACAAACACATCAAGCTCCGATGTCGGAAAAAGGAAGTTGAACTCACCAACAGGATTTCCACTGCTCCAACGATATACATCGCACCAGCCAAGGTGGTACCAGTATAGAACAGCATGCCCACAGCTCCACCAAACTCAGGCCCTATCGATCTTGATATCATGAAGTAACTGCCGCCTCCCGGCACCACACCATTTGTGGCGATCGCAGACATCGAAATGGCGGTCAACATAGTAACGCAACAACAACATAAAACGATGAGAAACCCTTGAATGGCACCAGCCGTACCTACGACCCAAGTTAAACGGATGAATAAAATGACACCAAAAATATTTTGGATGCACGGCAGATAGACGCCGATTAGGGTGCCCATTCGGGCACCGCCTCCTGCTGGCCTGGAATCAGGATCGTTCGAAGCAGGAGGGATGGTGTTGGAGTAGTTTGCAAGGGAGTTGATCAGGGTGGATATTCGTGGCCTATCCTCCATTTCCTCCGAGTAGAGGTACAGGTTGGTTTCATAACCAGACACTTTTTCTGACAGAAATTGTGGGTCGTCCGTACCATCTCCTGGAACAAAGAAAATTCAGTTAGGACCACCAATTATTGACTAATTTAATGATAGGCTGAGTATGGATAAATTTTAGTATTGTGAGGTTAAACTGGAACCTCTGGCGAAAAATGAATCCAAAACAAGCATTTTTCTCAATCACCAGAAACGCAATACTCTCCTCGACGCGCGCTTTACCAATGGGTAGGCATCTTCAGGAGATGAAGGAACGCGCATCGAGAAAAGTATTACATTTCTGGTGATCGAGAGAAAAATTCGACTAGAACCTATGTTCGAGATGTTTATCATTTGTAATAACACCGTGACATTGTACACAGGTTAATGAACTGCTCACCACTTTTCAGGACAAACTATCCCTAGTGTCTCTCAGAGTGTTACATCAAAATGGTTTAAAAAATATTGATTGAAGAACAAACAACATCCAAGCATGGTGAAGTATTGAATGAAGCTCTATAAAAAATTGTAATGCCAAGAACAGAAGATCAGAAAAAGATAAAATGGCATATTAGAACTCACAAAAATACATAATGGAAAAGAAATCAAAATTTATTGATTATATGGTGATTTACTGATTTTATTGTCATGAAATATTCTTGTTGTTCTTATTATTATTACTTTTTTCCTGACAGATTTGGTGGCCGGGCCTTATCTCCGAAGCTCCGATACATTCGAGAGGGCGCGTCAACATCAACGACCATTCCACACACGATGAGGTGAGATCAATGGGTCTGAGAAGCATGTGCTCTAAGTAGACGCAATGAGCTAAGAATAACGGTCTTCGGTATTTTTTTCAATCACAAAACACAAGCACTATAGAAAAATCCTTGAAGCGCTCTAAGAGCGGTGCCCGTGCGAAAGTAGTGATTCACGTTGGATCTGAATCGCTGGGGATTAGATTCATTTGAAAAAACGTTCTCAGTTATCCAGCAGCTTCAGAGTATGCTTAGGAGCGAAGCTTCATAAATGATAATAGTACTCCAAAGAAGGTTTGATCTAAGCTTCATAAAGCATCAAAAGTTGCTGAGGTGTGTACAGTTTTCTGGTTCGGAACAGAATTCCAAGCTTTTGAGAAGCAATTTCAGCGACATGATTGTGCCAAGACATGTTGGTATCCATTTAATTTCCCAACAAACTAATCGAAGCAGAAAGCGGAATTGTCTGTCCCGACATTATTATATACAGTTATCTTTTTGGAGGAAACCGATGCCTGAGTTATCGTGGCATTGAATTGCACCTGATTACTTTCACCCCAGTTCAAAATCACCTCTAGATTTTCATTAAGATATGCAACCTCCTGCTGCCGGTGAGAAGTCCATCCGCAGTCGATGTCCTGAAATTAAATGGAATGACGAGACAAATGTGCTGTCGTCAGCAAAAGAATATATTAGATTCTGGGGAACAGTAGCGTAGATGGTAAACATATTAGAGAGATATCCATTGAAGGTCATTTGCAGGGAACGTTCTTTTAGGTAGCTGGAGAGCCATACACAAAAATGATCCGACACTCCATAGCATCGAAGTTTGGCCAGCAAACCCTCATGCCACACATGGTCAAATGCCTTAGAAATATCAAGCGCAACAGCTTTCGACTTCCCATGTTTTTCGATTGCGTTATTTCAAATATGGGTGACATATGCTTGGAGGTCGCCTGTTGATCTTTTTTTACGAAAGCCATATTGATGATCGCTCAAGATGTTGAAGTTGTGGAATTGGCCGCGGTGGTAGTGCGCCCGCCTCATGATCGGAAGACCCTGGGTTCGATTCCCGCCTCGACCAGATATTTTTCTCGAGAGAATTCATCTGGTTGGAGCTGGGATGATTCTGCAACCGTGTTAGAAATGACACGTTAAAAGGTAGGACCTCGTTAGTCCTTAGCTCGCAAAAGTTTCTCAACTTCTGAGAGTTGTCGTTCGTATGGGGGTGACAGCTGATTAACGAAAAAACAGATTTCAAACAGATTTTTCAAATATATAGATATGCCGGTTTACGGCAGTCTCTATGATTTTTGATATCACTTATAGCAAAGCGACTGATCTATAGTTAATTGGAAGATTCTTTTTGCCCTTTTTGGAAATAGGCTGCACGTCAGCAATCTTTAAACAAGAAGGAAAAACCTGCTTGTAAAATACATTGAAAAGTCTGCAAAATACTGGCGCGAGTTCATTGACTCACCTTTCAAGTACGATGACGAGTACTTCATCAAGATCAGACGTCTTGTTCATATTGAGCTGTTTCAAAATTCGTCTCACTAGACGTTGTCGAAAAGTAATATCCGGCACTGTGGATTTTAGTATAGGAATAGTGGGTGGTGTCTTTTCCAGAAAATTGACTGTGGAGTGGGGCCCAAATGATTCAGATAGTAGATTTGCTTTTTCTGTGACTCTTGTTGCAATTGAACCATCTGCCTGTGTTAGTGGTGGAATTGTGGATTTTGTGAAGTTTTGATTAGGAGCTTCAGCTACCGACCAGAAGGATTTAGATCCGTTGGGATTGGCAAGCAGTTCATCCCTGATTCTCTGATTGTGAAGTTCTTTCATTTATTCTAAGTTTCCAGCTGTTACGAGCATTAACAAACCGACTTTGGTTTTCGGCACTGGGATTTTTACGCCACTGCCTGTAGGCGAGATTTCCGGAGGCGACAGCTTGTTCGAAATTTTTGTTGAACCGAGGTTTGCCGTTGGAAGTTCGTTTCATTAAAAAAGGAAAATATGCATCTATGGATGATAGAATAACTTCCGTGACTTCAAAAGCACAAGTTGATGGATCATTAGAGCTAAAACTAACATCTAGCTGGGGGAAATTTGTTTGATTGAGAATTATGTGTCAGTACAAGCCGGTGAAAACTCCATGACGAATATTATTTTGCTTTGATAGTCAAGAGGAACTACACCAGGCTCATTAGCTTGCACGAGTCTGAGAGTGGGAAATAAATAACTCCAAAAAAATACGGCACTTCTCATTATTATCATTTTCCCAATGAATTGAAGAGCATAGAAGTAGTTTTGTAAATATAAAGACCAATTCCACATTTGCAAACCACCTCCTAGCAGAAGGACATGAGTTCAATCATGAATACGATGTGTTACATTCAGAAAAGAAGAGTTTGAAACTCAATCTTCTAGAATGTTCAGAAATCAATAGATTCAAGAATTCGGATGATTTACTGAATGATAAATAAGAATTGAATAACTCCCCGTTACTAAATATTTTTTCAAACGTGGAAACTGGGACATAAGCTCAGATAATTTAATTCATCACAAACTTAGATAAAAATCAGCTACTTGAAATGTAAGTGATTCAAATTGTAGAATGAGATATATGTAGCATTGAATGTGTAGAATTAGTTAGTTAAGACACGCCCGAAGAAGCCATTGTTTGGCAAAACACGCGTTGCGTTTTAGTAAAATCGTTTAGTAAAACTCTTACAATAAAATGTGTTTTGAATATGTTAGTTACGGATTTTCATCAAGTATCGGCCATCATATTTCATTATCAGGTTCATTTTCATTTTCGTTCAAATGAGGTGCTGGTCAGGCCCTGTACCCGAAGCTTTGACCCATTCGAAGGGCATACCAGCAACTATTTTCACAACCGTGAAGTGAATGGTCATTGGGTACAACAATCGTGTGTTCTGAGCAGACGTAGCGAACCCAGAATGACAGACTTTTGTATTTGCCCGCCCAAGATTTCTGCTATCTTAGGACTGCAATAATCAGAACAACTATCTTAACAGAGTGCTCTCAACAAAGTTGGTCTTTTACGGATATCGTCCCATTTTGATGATCGGCAAAGAATACCTCAGGCTCATTAGCTGTCTCCACAACGAATTAAATATCTCCTGGAGTATAACGCAACACCAGTGTCTCGTTAATACCATAGGAGGGCCGCGTCATGTCGGTGAATATAGGCTGTGATCGCATATGCTGGAGATGCCGACAGCAAAAGCATGAATCGCCTCATGACAGGCTCTGCATCTGTTGTCAAGGAGCTCTATATCGATTACGGGACTACGCTAAATTGAGGTGTTGGAAACACCATTTTGGCCAGGAAATGATGAACCCCTCAGTTTCCGACTTGAACCACTCGACCTGAGGAAAGCAAAGGTCAGTTGCTTTATAAGCCGACGTCTTCAACAAATCTCATTCAATTCAAACAGCTGTGGGCACGAATGAGATATAATAAAACAGAACAAAAAGAAGTCCCGGAAAAAGTATGTCTCCTCCATCAATTCTTCCACCCCTATGTCGGATATATGGAAAAAAATTAAGAAGATAAAAGGTGCCAAGACGAATATGGAAATAGCTGCGCTGCAAATGGGAAATTCAGTAATTTACGACAAAGCTGAAATATCCGATAAACTGAGCGACACTTTTCAGAAACACTCGAACAGTAATGCATACAGCCAAGAATTCCAACAAGTGAAGAAAATCCAGGAACTTGACGAAATTCAAATCGAAGAAGACCCCCACCACCATCTGAATGTACCTATTACAATCGTGGAGCTGAACGATGCTCTCTCAAAGACAAACGATTGTAGCCCCGGACATGATACAATACCATATATATTTTTAAAAAAACTCCGTTTATCAGGAAAACATCATCTTCTCGATATTATGAACAGAATATTCTTCTCAAATCAGTTTCCATCCAGCTGGTCAGAAGTAATTATATAAGCGGTTTCCGAAAGTACAGATACACTCTAGACAATCTTGTGAATTCAGAAACAGATATCAGGGAGGCATTTGCGAATGAGCAAAACCTTTTCGATCTAGAAAAAGCGTATGATCGGGTATGGAAATATAAAGTGCTTAAACAACTGAAAAACTGGAAAATTGATGGAAACATCTTGGCATTCATACAAAATTTTCTGGGAAACAAAACCTTCAGAGTGAGAGCTAATGGAGTACTCTCTGACCTCAAGACACAAGAAAATGGTATTCCACAAGGTTCATTTCTAAGCGCCACCCTTTTTCTGGTTGCCATAAACGATATTCTGGAAAATA